CATCCCTCGAATTTTCTCAACTGGATCGCTCGTCACGAAGATACGCAGCCTTCAACTTCAAGCAAGTGGTTCGGTGTTTAATCAGTGAAAGAATTCAATGTTCCCGACGTCGATTAAATGTCCAAGGTGTGTAGAACAAGATGTGCCAAGAAGTTAGGTCTAACTTAAAAAATTGAGAAAGTTACGCGGGTTCGAAGTGTAAGGCGTCGCACAGCTACTTTAAAAACTGCTAATCTTATGAATTTTCGTACCGTAACAGAGAAGAATTGAACGCGATAGGGTAGTCCCTTTAACGAAGCAAGAATGAGTTAAATTCCAGGAAGAAAGGGAAGAAGCGGTGGATTGGAGCGCAAAACCGGAATGCAATTTACCATAAACCGGTCGTCTGTATTCAAAAGGTGGAATTGGTGGATTTCATGCATAGTGTTCCACGTTGTTGCAACAGGTTACAAAACCACACGTCGCGAAGCGCGTGTGTTTTTTTATGACGTTCAAATTACGATCGTGACGAGTAGTTCGTACCTTCTCTCCGTCTGTGTATACTTTTGAAAACGTTCTCTCTGGCAGCCTTCGCGACCGTATGGAAGAAATTATACACCGGTGGTTCGGTATCTTTGTCCTCGTCATCCTTCGAAAACATTCGTCTCTGCGTTGGCATAGGAAAATGTCTGAGTTCGGGTTTGCGCAAAAATAACATGGAAAAAAAACCTGTTCGAGCAATTCACCAGATTTCTGTTTCTACTCTGAAACTTTTTAATCGATCAATAATACCTCTTCTGTCTCTCTCTGTCGCGGAAGTAATACAGCAATTCAGTTTTTTCCTACCGTTAAATAATACCAATTTAGATACATATTTCATACACATTTTCTATCAATCCTGAGAGTGAAGATAATTGAAGAACAGAAATCAGAAGCATCGTCTCCTATGGTAACCACCTATAATGCAAGTTAAAAGAGAAGAAAGAAAAGAGAGAAATATATGTTGAATATATTGTGCATAATCATTATGGCGATTGCTATAACCGTAAGCATCGAGCAAAGAGACTGAAGCCGGTTTCACCGGTCGACGAAAGCGAGGTAAAAGTGGAAGCGGGCCCCGAAACAAATTTCAAGCGTGTTAACTCACGCGGTCAGACCGTCGCTCCAGCTGAACATCTTCTTGATCTTCTCCCTCTGCTTCGGATCGTTCTTGTCCACCATTTTGCTCGATGTCTCCATGCTAACAGGCTGAACGATTCTCCAAGATTCTCTTTGTCCCTCAACGACGATGCATCTTTTTCCTCGGCTACCTCTTCACGGAGAATTCGCCGTTGTGCAGTTGGTACGACCTCGCAGCGCTGAAAATTTCACGTCGAATATCAGCGACGATAATTAACGAGGATTGATAGATGATTTATCGTTCTACATTATTTTTAGATCTCGTGAAAGATTGTTTTCGCGTAACTCCCGATGGGAACTTGTTCATTTACAATGCAAATATTTACCGGAAAGTATTTTTATCCGGCTGTGGCGGACAGGAATTCTGCCCGATCATGGCGGATGATTTACAAAAAAGAAGAAAGAAAAAAACAACATTTCTGCGAGATCTACCGATTAAACGTGTAATACGGATGTAAATGATATGCAATTATTCCAGCAAATCAAAACACAACTCATTTCGAGTGGCCAATATGAGCACTGGACCTGTTCGGTGAAATAAAATACGCGGTGTATTCGAAAAGGTTACTTTCGTATGAGAGAAATGTGAATTAAAATTGAATCGTTCCTCCGGACAAAAAGTGTACCGATCTCTATCGTATCTCCAGAGATTCATATACATATACATATATAGGTATATACGACGTTGTTTCTCCTCGCTTTCGCGGATCTAGAAAATTCGTTTCTTCGGAGGAAGCTGTTATTCGTGACAATGACGGAAAGTGAAACCGTTTTGCAGGCTCTGTTCGCAGGAACAGAAGCGTGTGCCTTCTCGTGTCATTACGAAGAAAGCGTGGCGTGTAACAGATCTGTCTGTTAGGAACGGAAAATATCCTAAGAATAGCATTTTCCTTGGACGCTTTGTCCCTGGATAACGCGTGAAAGAAGAAGAAAAGAAGAAACACGTCAGATGTGTACTACATATGGCTATCAGAGAGACTAAATATTGCCTCTGGTCGCATGTAAATATCGGCTGGAATATTCCTCGGTTGAAATTAGTGTCAAGGAAGAGAAAAATTAATCGTCATCGTACGTGGATCGACCTTTGAGCAGACCGAGAAACGGGGGAAAAAGATGCATACGAACGAAGGATAACGAGCAACGATCAAGAAGATCACGGGTATTCTGAGAATTCCTGTGGATCAAGAGACCCTGTCGATGATGGGGGAATTTCGTCACGCTGCGCGACGATCGAGATCGACGCCGCTCGACCGCGGCTCCTCGATCCAGAAACGATGGAAATCGAGGATCGCGATTGTGTGTCGGCAAACATCTGACGCGCGCGAGTTCCTCGGCTTAATTATTAATTACAACTGTGCCTATGTCCTTAATTATTCCAGGAGATTGTTCTTCGATGCAATTCTTCGCTGAACTTAAAGCATAAAAACAGGTTCGTATTCTTGAAACCTAATTCGACCAACGTCTGATCGGAGAAACATCGTTTCACGCTTCTCTTTTTTTTCTCATTTTCTTCTCTCCACCGTGATTAGATAGTTCCTTCAACTATTCTAGTCTAGTTTAACATTCTAGCTCCTCTGTGTTACTTTTTACTTTAGTCCGTAGATCAGAGAGCCTGTAATCATAGTAGAAGGATATATTTAACTTCAGATTTAATCGAATTCAATCGACGGTTCTATTTAAAGTACCTATAGGGGAACAGATTGTCTAGTTGTTCCAATAATCGTTCTATTCTACTCTCAATCGGCGCACGCGTCGTTGACCGAGCAAAGAAAGTGGAGCTTCCGACAGCCAGACCGGAAGTGCGACGAAAATGCTCGCGGGAAGAGGTCGACGCTCGATTCGTTTAATATTCCTCTCGCTGTATCCACCTACCCGATTAATTAACTCGATTCCATCGTCATTGCTGATCTACATTGCTAATAAAAACTCTTAAAACACATGCTTGTTTGTATACTGATACCAAATATATTATAAATTGACCTCTTGACCTTCGTAAGTCTTCAACAGCCATTGAAAGAACTCTGAAATCAGTTGCTCGTTCATATACCGATACCAAATATTTTATAAATCAATTTAAAAAAAATTGATTAACCTCGTTTGATCTTCCTACGTTTCCAATAGCCACTGATAGAAGATCGTAGAGAACATCCATGTATCTTAATTAGCTGCAGCTTCTGATAGACGGACGAGTTAATTGAATCCATCGCGATTGGAATATAAACATCCCTCTGTTTCTCATGCAAATTTCACCTTGTTACTCAACCGTCGTAAATTATAATGAACCGAGTAATACGAATGATTAAGATCATCTTTATTCGTATGTGAGAGAAGGCGTAGATCTGACGATGAAATTCTTAAAGCGGCACCACTTCCTGAATATCAAGTCGGTTTCAATCTCCTGAAATCGCGAGTACAGTCGCGGTGCCGGGTCCTTTCCGCGCGAGCGCGCGTGTCCGCAATCCAAAGTGGACGATTTGTTATCAAGTCAGGTTGGCGAGCTTCGTGGGACAAAGGACGGCGAGAAGAAGCGTGGGAGTTCGAGCGAAACGGCGCAGTTCGTCGACAAATTCGTTGCGATGATTTTGTGTGTTGTAATTAGCACCTGTTAATTAAAGAGTATCGTAAGATCTCGTTGTGTAAATTGTATCTTTCGATCAGCTCGTAAGCTGGCACTAAACTTGTGGCCTTTCGGAACACTTACGCTCCCCGTTCATAAGCGTTGAGACACTGAATGTGAAACTAACCTAAATAGTCATTAAAGAATTATTAAGATTGTGAAAAGATTATTGCGTGTGAAATCTCGTGGTACAACGAGTATATATATATGTATTTGTAACGATGTATGATAATAAGTTTGGTGAAGAAATGCAATTTTAATTATATAATATTTTTTGTGTGAACGTAATACGTGTTCTAACACTTACGAAGCAAGTCTATTTTTCAAGTTATTTCCTTCAATGATATTATTTTTGTGATCGTTACCTTGGGTGAGGAGGTATGTAACGTGAATTATGATCCATATGTTTTTAATACAAAAATTGCCATTGGGGTTACGCATTGACCAGTTTGCACAGCGATTTTATGCAGTTTGTGCGTTCCTGTTATGTGAAAGTGTTGCGCGTGCGTCACACGACAAACTTTAATTGCTATTCTGCTCGTTCGATGAATTCCCTTCCGTTCCGTCTTACATAAAAGCGGTAAAAGTCGAGATTTCGTTCTCTGTTGATAGAAACAATCATCGAGCTCCAGGCTGTGCTCGAAACAGAGAGAAGAAACAGGAGGTATTGTACCGTTAGAGTAAACTTCTAGTCGGCTTTCACGACACGTGGACGAACGATATGGACGACGAAATTGTGCGATAGAAATGCATCTCTCGTGCTGCACGCGTAATCCGGATTATTCAAGCCGGATTCGAAAAATCGAAAGTGCACGTCGCCCTGGATGATCGAGATCAAGAGGCTTCCGCGACACGTTGGGAAAATATGTTTCTGGGTCGCTCGAAACTCGCCATGAGACACGGGAACATCGTAAATCACGCGACCATCCGACAGATGACTTTCACGGTTTTGAAGAGAGCTGGTCGAACCGGGCTCTGGACGAATTTCGACGAAATTTTTATGTATAAATTATACCGAAAGTAGCTTAAAAGTAAATTTTTCAATTTACGCATCCATTATTTTTAATATAAATATCATCTCGATTTACGTGCTTTTGATTTACGTAGTACGCGTTAACGCGCGAAAATCGAGGGTTAAATATGTCTGCCACGGTATGGTATCGAAGACACTTGTTGCGCCAAAAGTATCGTCCCCGGTAGGGTATTACGTAGTTCGATATGTTGGACAGATATTTTTCCGTTAAAACGTATGTTTCCTTTTGCTACTATTAAACGAAAGTGGGTCAACTATGGGGGGTTTTGCAAAACGTTACGAAAGTCTAGAAAATTTCTACGATCTATACACGAATATCCAGCCGCATGTCTGATTGTAAATTTAATACCCGTACGACTTCTCGATTGCTTCCTCGTTACACTTCCTCGACTTCACTCGTCACCTCTTCGATTTCATAAGACCGAGCACGCGTGTGCGTCGTAATACGCGTGAAATCTGTGATAGATTGCACCCACCGGGCTTTTTAATACGTTACAAAAGAAGTATGTATTACGTATATTTCAAGCCCTACGAAGAGATAATATGCTTTGTGCACAAACAATCGTAACAATGTTACGAGCATTGTCATCCATGACAGATATCGAATCTCGAACGGTAAACATCGATGCCTCGCGCGGTTCTCACGCTAAAGCTCGATGTGCAATCGCGCGACGAACTTATTTTAAAACATTGGCAAAGTTACCTCTAATCAAGACGTCCTCTCGTCCGCTTATATATACTTGAAAAAACAATCACGAAGCCACTCTGACGTACGTCAAATGAATACACGTAAGATCCTATGTATCTGTCAGACAAAATTCCCGGCGAATCTTCGATAACACATGTACGAAACGACGTTATTCGTACCTTTCAACATGTCCGCGCACACAACATAAATCAAATCGAGATTCAGCACGAAACCGCCGAGAAAAAATATCTCCTGATAAAACGTTCCGTACACTGTCACACAATAAATGATGTGAAATGATCTTCCATCCCAGGAATATTGTCAATGAAACTAACTAACATTGACGCGTCAACAAACAATCTCGTTGATGAACGTTACAAACGTAGTGACGATTCCGGACCGAGTTCGGATGTTCCGCAAGATTTTAGGTTAGATACACGGGGGGAACGGATGAACCGTCGCGAGATGAAACGAGGGAAATAGAAACGATGCTTTACCGTGCGCACTTGGACATCCACGGAGCAGGAAGTACGACACCAGAGTACACGGATGAGAACGCCCGAACCGTTTGAACGTCTTTCTCGCACTGAGAGACGAATCCGGTTGAGCAATAACGCGCAGCGCAGACACCGGCTACGCACTAACACACACTGGCTCACGCACCTTGCAGGGGTATGCGCGCGCTGTAAACACGCTCTCCGTCGGTGGACAGACCAAGAAGACATGGTCGCCGGCACAGTTGGTAACACTGCTAGTACACAGACCCCCGTCGATCCTTCGTGCCAGATTCCAACGATCGTGCGTTTTTCTTTTACTCTTTCCGCAGGTAAGAAACTCGTCGACCGATTTCACGTCCACCGATTGCGTGTCGACTTATTTGCATAGGTCTTTCAGATTACCACCGATCCTGTCCTTTAATTGAGTAATTTTATCAAGATGAAGATTTTACTGTATGCAGCGATTCAATCGTTATTGCGCGCCTTTTTAACTCGACGGTTGACGGTGAGTTTATAGACCCATTAATAGTTTCGAAAACGATTTTACAATATTGATAGATCGATTAATTATTAGTCGATCGTACCTGACGGTTATTCTGAATTACCGAAGTTTAACCAGACGTCGATAACTCCGTATGAAATTGAAATTTCGTAAGGAAAATTGGCGGGATGTTGCAACGCGTAACGTATTGCCAACCGATCGTACACTTGTCATTTTTCATAAAGGCATCGTATGCGATAAATATTTCGTTTTAATAACCCGTGAAATTTCATTTGCAAGATAAAACGAACTTTTCCAATATAACAAGATCTCTTTACCATTGCTCCTAGAAATCTTGCTAGGAATTTGATACACTTACACAACGCTCTATTCGGTCGGCAATGCGTTAATAACTGTCTCCGCCTTTCGAGGTTAGTTTTTTTCAAATTACCGTTCACCGACGCCTATGCGTTCACGTACAGTACGCAACCTGCGTTCGTGTATCTCGCGTAAGTTTGCTCCTTGACGTATACACACGTATCAAGTGGCTTTCGATTCGACAGATCCGTGGGTCTAATACACGCGCTCGGGAGCGCGTATACGCACTTTTCCTCGTGTCGCAAATCGAAAGTGCGCGGCCTGCACTCGGCCCCCCAGTGCCGTCATCTTCCGCGTGCGAGGGCCCCTTATGCATTCGGATTACGCAAACCCTCGCAATTCCAAATTGGTCGCTAAGATATTCACCACGAAATTGTTGCAACGCTTGCGACACGCATGCCTCTTAGGCGACCGGCGCGGCGTAACTGGCCACTTCCGGTCCAGTGTACAATTCCTCGCGATTTGTTCACGCGCGAAACCCTGCTATACCTACCGAGGCACTTAGTTTTTGCATTTTTTCTTCAATTATTTAGTATTCATTTCAAACGCGTGTACATACGAAGTCGTTGCTCATGAAATGACGATGTTCACACGCCGGCAGAAATTATCTGTTTTTTTGGGAGTGGAATCGTGTCGATTATCATGTGAAAAAGTAAAACCTCCGGCCTACTGCTTTAAATGCAACACTCGATGCGCTGAAAAAGTTAGATTAAGGTTATATTAAAAGCAGAAAATGGATTCTAGTGTGGTTTTCTTTCATGAATTCAAGCTGAGACTTACAGAGGCAACGTGGAATATTGATAAAGCATTTATAAAAAGGATTAAATAACAAGGCAACAATTGAAAATATGTTTCAGAAATTTATTGCATTCAAATATTCAGACTTTAATAATAATAGACTAAATTCACTTGTAATTTATTGACAGAAATGTGTCGAATCTGCTGGAACTTATTTATTAATTAATATAATTTAGTTTTGACTATCTTCTCGAGGTTCGAACTTTCATCTATGACTCCATAATAATTCTATACGTAACTACCGAACCAGTGACGAGCATTTTTATTTTCATCAATCGAACCACTCCAAATCTCTTTGTTAATGGATCAAATTGTCGTTAAAATAGCAACGTCGATTTCTCTATGATCGATTTTGTAATTCCTCGTTTAATGGTAGACCGATAATTATTTTCAACAGGCATAAGTACAGCTGTGTATAAATGACTAACGATCGGTTAGCTCTGAAAGGGAAACGATGTCGACATACAGTACACTCGAGGAAGGAAATCTCGATGATTCGACATCTTTTCTGGTCGCCCTGCGCGCATAAAGAAGGGCCTCGAGATAATTTCATCGGTTCTGAATCATCGAACAATTGTTCTCTATTCTCCGCGACACAGAATAGGCAATCTCCTCTCATGCATAATTTCCAGGCACGTAACGCAGATACCCATTTACGTACACGCATCGTCAAGCCTCCTTGCTGCAATTTCAGCGGTGAATGATAATGCTATCTCGTGATGCGCTCGCTGTGCAGACAGACGCATTTGCATTCTCGGGATATTTAAATTAATAGAGGTGTAATTGAGCTACGTGGCAAATAGTGTTGCACAAAAACCCTAACTAACGATCGTTCTAATCGCTTTCTTGTTCGAACTAATCGATCGTTTCTATCACGAAGAAAAAATAATCGTCGTTAATCTTTTTGCAAAAGCGTTAACGTTGTCAATTGTATTATCTGCAAGAGGCGTTTTTCGTCACTGGTGAAATGATGTCATCGGGAATAATTGAGCGAGCGCAAAACTTGATAAAATATACGACACGTCATCTTGTCTTGCCTATATGTACGTGTATGTAAAGTAGTGCACGCATAAGCGTCCGTCGCTATCCCCACCAATTCTTGAAAATGGGACTTCGGAGTGGACACATCTCCTCTCTTTTCTTTAGTTAAATTCGCAGAAGTCACCTCCCCACTTAAGCGTCTGCATTCGGGATCGAATTATGTGTGCACTACTGTATATCATTTCGTCGAACGACAGTGGTGTGTCAGATTTATCACCACAGATCAGTGGAATTCATTTTGCAATTTTTACTGGGAAATTAAGATCGACGTGTATAGGTTGAACTTTTTATTTCGAGGGTGAAAGGATTTGCAATTAGTTCGGTCATCTCGCAGGTATAAATATACATGTATATATGAGCTGTTTAGCCCCTTGACGTATGATTACTTTTCTTGACTGTGCATCTAAGCGTCAGCCATTTACCGTCTTAGTACAATATTTAATAAGAAAAACTGATATATTATAGATCAGTGAAATTTTGCAATCTTCAGTTTAACAAATGAAACGGAAAATTGGAATTGAAATTAATATTTCTTACCGATATAACTGTTTTTATCAGGTCTTGACCAAAATCTGTAGTACGAGTCTAACTTGTTATCATACGGCAAGGGGTTAATGCAAAAGTGGTGTAAGCGAATTTTTTGCCTATTTGATTTAACTCCACATTAATGAAAGCTCAACCTTCGTTCTGTTTCGAGCAGAAGTGGCGTGAGTGTATATTTATTAGCTTCTCGGTGGATAACAAAATAAGTAAGAATCATCTACTGGAATGCCATGGACGCTATAAAATGATAAAATAAAATGATTACACATATATCTTGATTTTCAGGGAAAAATGGTATTATTAACTCAAGGTATAACTATAAATAAGGTATATACATAAAAGAGATCTAACATTTCTTAATATTTTCCATTCCTCGTTATCCAGAAATCAACTTTTTCGACTTACACCGTTTGCGCATTAAACGACTGGTATATTAAAAAACTGACAAACATATAAATAGCAATGGTAAAAGTAGAATGTCACGTGATTATTCATCGGCAATAAATAATCTGTTACAGGGGATTTTTTTTGCCGAGAATTCCTGAACCTGTTACAAAAGAAACAGGTTCGCGATTCCTCGCCGCGTCGCGGTTATCCCCGGATTTAGAAGCACGTGTCCGCTCGCCTTGATAGTTACACCTCGTTCCTTACAATTTCCACCATTTCTTCCACCAGCTTTTTGTCGGTCATCGTGATACAAGTCTCTCTGCTCGTCCCAATTTTTACTCTGTTCCCACCGTCCGTGGTTGCCATCTTTTTCTTCGCGGACGCGTGAAACTCTTTCGCACCAGACGCGCTCTTTATCTTCAGAATATTCTCCTTTGTGATACCAGAACCGGGCATCACCGTAATTCTACCGTCGGCCTCTCGAACAAGTTCCTTTATCAATTCCAATCCATCTTCGGCGGTATCCTTCTGGCCGGAAGTGAGAACTCTCACGAATCCAAGATCGATCAAGATTTTCAAGGACTCGAGAGGATCGTCGACCTCGTCGAAGGCCCGATGAAAGGTGACCGGCAATGGTAGAGCAACGGAGAGAACCTCCTTGCAAAATTCCACGTGAATCTGGTTTTCTGACGTCAACGCGCCAAAAACGAAACCGTCGACACCGAGATTTTTGAAGATTTTCAAATCCTCCAGCATGATCTCCATCTCGTCTATCGTGTACACGAAGTTTCCGGAACGTGCTCGTAGCATAGCGTAGATTGGTACCGTTGAGAGTCTTTTGATTTTTTTCAAAAAACCGAAACTGGGGGTTAAACCGCCCTCCGAGAGGGCCGAGCATACTTCGAGTCTATTTGCACCGCCCTCGATAGCGTTTCTAGCTGATTCTACGGAATCGATGCAGATTTCCATCTGAAACGTTTAGTGTATTACATAGGGATATTTGTAGAGTAAAGTTATTTGAACAATTCTGGTGGAAACTTACTGTAGGTTTGAATGCGTTGCCAATTTCCCGCGGGAAAGCGGGGCGAGAAATGTCACTAGACGTTTGTCACTAGGAACGAGCGAAACAGACGCGTTATCGATGACAGGAGATGTCGTGTGTTTAAAACGGCTTTGCAACGAGGAACTACGAGAGACTGATGTCGAAATTTAAGTAAATTTTCAGAGTATATAGTCTGGTGATAATTGACACTGAATGAATTTGAATAAATTAAAGGAAACGCACTGTAAGATGTGTAAAAAATACGCGTGAACACTGGTGATGCGTTGCCGACGCGATTACTTCGCCATCTGTTGAGAAGTATTGAGTTTATCTGTGAAACTCACTGTAGATAAGAAAAAATTATCGTAGAGTTGTTGAATTTTTTTTTTATATGATTTAATCAATAAAGGAATAAATGGAATAATCAATAAAGGAACGCGAGGATATGTATTGTTAATAAAAGAATTCATCAGTGTTGGAATAAACGTACCGAATATATAAGGAGTAACATGGTTAATAATATTTCACGGTGAAGTTGGCATAATTATAACTTTAAGTATATTTATAATATTAAAATTGTTAATAAGCTGTATTTTGCAATGAATTCAATTTATATAGTTAATATAGAAGCGTATAATTCTGAAATTAAACGTAGTTTGTGCAGGTAGTATACTCGTCCACGTAAAGTACTTATAATAAACATCCCAATTACAAGGCGACCTTGGCTAAGTGAGCAAAGTGCTTGATTGCTAATCTGGAGGTCTCGGGTTCGAGCCCCTCCTTTTCAATCGAATTTTTCACTTGGATATTAATTCTAAAAATTGTCTAAGTAGGTTAGTTGTTCGTTTTTCTTCAAAAATTGGCGTCACCAGTCAAAAGATGGTAATTTAAAAAAAATTCTGAAGGAACCATTGACTTTCCCAAAGCATTTTAAAAGATAGTTTTCCATTAACTTTAATAAATTTCCCGGACATGCGTTAGTCTTCTTAAGATTTCTCTCTATCTGAATTATAACATAGAGTTACTCCAAAATTCTTTGAACTTGGAAATCTTCACTTTCTTTCTCCGAAGTAGTTTAGACAATGATTATTTCGCTTGTACGATGGCTAGCAAAGTACTCTCAGTAGTTAGAAAAAGGAATTCCAAGTTTCCTTCGATCTTAAACGAACACATTACAAAGAAGAGAGAGAAACGCAAGTTCACATGGATTCCAGGGATAACGAGGGAATGAAAAATAAAAAAAATCAGTACTGAAAGAAGCCACCATTCCTCCTCAAAATACCTTCGAAGTTGAATTCTGAATATTGAAGTTCCAAAAATTCCTCTTAAAAAATACCTCCAAAGCTGAATTGCAAAAAACCCCTGAAAACTGGAAAAGGAATCAAATTCAAAGACAAAAAGAGGTGAATGAAAAGAAACACTCAGCCAGTTTCTATAAAGGGCATTGGCAAAATAGGGGTTCTAGGAGAAAAAGGTGTCTAAAAAATAAAATACTTAAAATGACAGCAAAAGGGACGAAGAGGGGGAACGAGGAATTTTTTAATTAATCATCGCAGTCCGGGAGGGGAAAGACAAGTCCCGTCGCGGGAAAGAAGTCTCTTTTTTTCTCGTTCGATATATAATAATTAATAACATGGTCAACGCGCGATATCAGTCACAGAAATGTCGCGAGGAGGAGTAAGTTAGTAGGAAGAGGGGGAAGTTTAAAAACGATTCGCGATCGATTCGCAAACAGGCCCCGAAGATCGTTCTTTGGAGAACTAGAAGAGTATCCACAATTTTCTCTTTTTCTCGTTTTTCTTATTCTCTTTTTCCTCAACAGCCCCCGACGACCGGTGCTCAATCGAAGGAACTCTGTTCCTCGTCGGTTGACGCGCAGTTTTACAGCCGACCGGGGGCGTACTTTCGTCGTCGTTGTTTGCTTTTCTCCTTTTCTCACACCTTCTCATTTTTACCATTTCGTTACTCCTACCTTCTTTCTCTCGTCTAATTACAATAACATTCGCGATTCGCGGGAAATCAGAGATCGCCGTTCGACACGGCGATCGGCGACGGACTCGTCGGATTGCTCGAGCTGGTCGTCCACTTGTTCTTGTGTGGATCCACGCCGAAACCCTCGTCGTAGTTTCCCCGCGTGATGAACAGCTGTTTGAAATGCGGGATGCAGTAGAGTTTACCATTGTTTAAGGTGAACGTGTCCATCCTGCGTAGGGAAATATCATTGTCAATACACACATGTCCTCTTATCTTTTCTGTTTTTTTTTTCTTTTTTTTTTGGTTTCTTTTTTACGGTGGAGATATATATATAATCATTTTTGTTCCATCGGTGCTGTAGAAAAAAAGATCGAAAGAAAATAAAAGAAAGGGAGAGAACACAATCTCGAGTAGAGGAGATAGAGATAGAGAGTGAGAGGAGGCTACGTTACCTTAGCACACAATTGCACTGCAGACACCGGAAGCACTGTTTGTGAAATATTTTGTTATTTGTCTCCACCTTTTCTAGGGGGTACACTTTCTTTTCGCAGCTCTCGCACACGTCCGTACAGCTCGCCTGAATCTCCTGCGTCGTTTTCGAAAGATTTGGAAGAAAGCAAAATAAGACGGTGAACAAAAAAGTGCCGGTTGAAAAAAAAATAAAAGGTGTGATGGTTTTTCATATGAGAGAGAGAGAAATAGATAACAGATGGAATATGTGCAACGTGATTCGTTATTTCGTGTTTCAGATTCCAAGTGATATAGGCCAATTTTTCCTACGTATCGTCGAGAGAAATAGAAAGAGACAGAAAGACAGAGGACAGAGAGATGAAACTGAAGAAAGGGGTTTGACGATAGGGATGCGACACTGCACTGCTGTTTTTCCTCCTTTCGATTTTCCTAGCACACGCCCAATTTTCACAACCATTCGCACGTGTTTGATGTATATATATATATAATCGTCATGTCTTCTTTCTTTTTTTTTTCTTTTCGTCAGGATGATACCCTTTTTTATTTATCGTATGCAATATGCTCGTAATAAATTGTTACACTTGAGATAGGTAAAAGGTAAAGTACAAGAATATCATACGTCGCTAAAAATTATACAATCCAAGACGCAATGAAAAGTCTACTAGTGTAAAATCGTATCGCGGTTATTAGTAGGCCGTGGTAATCAAAAGCGATTCGATCGATTCAACTAAATAAAATTCGCTGGCAGACGCAAATGTTTTCTCTTTCGCTGATTTCTTTTTAACAACAAACAATCGCGTGTTTCTTTATCCTTTCTTTCGCGTTATACGTTCGACTACGACGACGACGACGATGAAAACAACGTTTCCCCTTAAAAATTATTGCACTTAATTCCATCGCGTCGATGAGAAGAAAAGCTCTTTGATCGGTGACGAATGCCTATCGATTAATACAAAAAACATTACCAAATCCTGTTAAGAATATACATATCGTATAACTGTACCATTGTTCGACCTCGTGGCTTTTCTCACGTTTAACTTGTTAATCGTTTATCATATTCTACCGTGACGATCGCGAGAGGCAACGAACCAGGGATTACAGGACACGTCGAGCACGGAAAACGAAATACAGTGGACTCCCTCTTATCCGGCTCCACCAGTTTCTGTAGAAATAGATCGTGATTTTTCTACGGCAGCAATGGACTTCGACGTAAGGCAATCGATACCGTTGCACGAAGTTCATTATTGATTTCTTTGTATAAATAAATGTTCAATAAAAGGTTGTAAATAAAATAATAAATACTATATTTTTTATTTTATTTACAATCTATAAGTGATATCGTCGGATTAACCGGCTGTTCGTTTGTCCGGCCCCATACGGGCCGATTAATGGGGAGTCTACTGTATTTGGCGGTTGATAAGAGAAAAATTCATCGATTTGGTGAAAATTGAAATTCGTTGCTGTAGCGTATTCGACCGCCGTTTCTTCTTTCTTTTCTATCGAGATCGAGTGCTCGACGTGTCCACGTTCCACGTGCTACACAGAAAAATTTTTCTAACAGAGTTTCACGCTAAAGTTACGTCGACAGAGGAGAGAAGATCTCCGCGACACAGACAGATTCAGTATCAGCGACGAGGCATCGAGTGCCGAAACGAGGCTTAAATTTCCCTGCTAGGCGCATTCCTACACTAAGAAACAATTTGTACTACTATAGTGTTGCTCTGAGAAAGATCCACGAGAAAGAAAAATTGCCAAATTCACTTCAACAATGGCAGTATCCGTATCTTCTCTGTCTGCGTTGTTAAGATCCCCGTCTTTTGGCTAAAATTTTCTACTTCGTCGAACGTCAATGCAAAACCGAATCGTTCGTAAAGAATACGCGACAAGAGAGGAAAGAACCTGAAATCTTGTTTAACTGGAAGCCCTGAACAATGTAAAATCGAGCCGAAGAAACTTGATGGATTACACAAGAAAGTGGTTATCGGTGATAAATTCCTAGCTAAAAAGTGTTACACTTAGAATTGACGAGGTTGTTTTCTCCTTTAAGCGTGTCGCAAAAATTTCACAGTCTTCGCGCAGCTCGAAGAAAATAAAACACAGGGATCCCCGTCGTTGCCTTCAAAATACTCGTCGAATCTTCTCACCGATTCGTACCAAAAAATCGCAGTACCATTGTTTACCGAAGAAAAAACATACACTATATGTATATACTCGTTTACGTATTTTTACGTTGTGTGTCTGTGTGTGTCTGTGTGTACGTGTTCCTTTTTTTCCTGTGTGTGTATGTTCGCGCGTGTCCTCTAATTCTATTCAGTCCTCTTCGTCCTCAGGCCGTCCGTGGTCCTCTCGTGGTCCATCGGATGCGCCGCGGCGATCCTCCGCTTCCGGTTGCCCCTTACTGTTCGCGTTCAACAAGAGAATCAGATCACTGGATCGTGTGGTCGAGAATCGAGGGAAAGCTGCTTGGCCAACGCTCTTTCTTTTTTTTTTTTTTTTTTACTTTTTTTTCAGGCGTCAATCTCAAGACCAAAATGCGAGACAATCGGCACACACGTCACAGGTATCACGCTAACTAGTCATGCTCTGTGTGCAACTCGTGTGAGTAGTACGGTTATTTCATTCTCGGAGAGGGATAAATGTTACGCTTTTTTTTTTTTTTACTTTTTTTTCTCGGCCCAGTCTCGAGGTCCAGTCTCTGTTTCCTCTTTGTGGTGGCTCGCGTTAGTTCACACAGCTACTGATTAATCGAAACTGAAATTCTTCGTACCTCGTGCACGGCCAAAAAGTTTTTAAACAGATCGTGATAAGTTTGACGCGTTCAGGACATAATCGTGGCTCATTTTGTCACCAAAATGATGGCGAAAGAGACGGAGTGGATTGTGCATCAGCGTATTTTCAGGTTACATAGTTCAAAATGAAGTGACAACGATAATACACATTTCTGTGACAAGAAACTCTGAAGTCGTCCTGAACGCGTCAAGCTTCGATTTTTCTTTTTTTCTGATAATTCGGAGATTCTCTTTCTGGCCGTGCATCTGGAAACTCGCAGATTGTAACACATAAGATTGCGTGCATACGAGTACAAAGATCCACTCGACGTAACACGTCACAGAAATGAAAGCAACTATAGGTGAAAAAAAAAAAAACTAAAAAATAAATGGCATTACGCTCCTGCCGTCGCAGGACAAAGTATATAAGTTACATCGTGCTTGAATACACAAGAGGATCGATACACTTTGCGCATGTACATTCTTCAAGATAGATAGAGATAGAGAAATTAAACAAAGAAAAAGAAGGAACAATTAATAGTACCAAGGGACACTGTACAAAATCAGGTAGCATAAATGAATCGTTAAAAAATACACACACCATGCTAGAGAGAAACGAGCCACGCTTCACACCGATCGAAACAACGAGAGGAACAACACACTCACAGAGGTGGGGAAAAAAATGAAGGAGAGAGAGAGAGAGAAAAGAAGATCGTCTCTATCGTACAATGCAGTGCGAAGAAAATGGAAACCAAACATGGATGTTTTCGACAGAGCGTAAAAAAATTGGAAAAGATTGAAAAAAAAAAAAGAAAAAACAACGTAGGGAGAGCGAACAAAATTCGTCGAGTTTGTCATTCACAAGTTCGTGGATGAATGAACACAGCTCGGAAGGAATGAACGGTGGATGAATGGAGGATGAAAACACGGAGAAGTTTCCTACGAAAGAGTACTCACCACGAATCGATTGACTTTGACCTTCGGTGTGCGTGGCGATTCGTTCGTTTGCGAGCCCAGAGACTCGAAACGGGCTCTGAGACTACTCGCTGACTCTATGCTTAGCTGCTGATCGCCGGTATTCTGAGCAGCGATTTCCATCTCTGCGATATGCTGACTGCTCGACGACGTCGTCTTCGCGTCTGTCTCCTCCCAGTGCTCGAATTTCGCGCACAAAGTCTTCGCGCGCGCTGCGTTTTGCGCCTGCTTCAAGAACTCGTCCTCTACCTGAAAACACAGTGTTCGATACATTCTCTTGCAATTTTTTTCGAAATTTTCCTCTATTTTCAAACGGTAGAAATATGCAAAATTCTCTGTGCACGTTCTCGTCTGTAAATATTAGAACACACCTGTTGCATTTTTGTTTATTTAACGTACCACGATTTATCAAACACCTTGTACATTAGCAAAAATCTGGCAATTTTTACAAAATTTTCCTACACTTTTGAAAGGTAGAAATATGGAAAATTCTCTGTGAAAATTCACCGGTTGCATTTTTGTTTATTTAACGTACCACGATTTTAGAAACACCTCGTATAGTAGTAAAATTCTGGCTACACAGTGTGGAATGATTTGCTTTCCAATTGTACATGTCCGTGTATTAAAAAAAATTTTTTTCCAGATTTTTGACGACTGTCATCCGTGTTCGTAGCGAGCTTTCTTTCCGCCTCGTACGTTGATTAGGTGCTCCAGTATTTATAGACAAGGTGAGAATTTATTCAGACGCCCCTGCGCAGAGACAGGTGTCGTTCATCTGCATATCGGCCCACAGGTAACCTTCCGGAGCGTTTCTCATGCATATTCATAGAGAATCCTCTCGAGGTCCCGGACACCTTGTCTCGATGTTAATAAACGCTACCATTTTTTTACACACCGATGGAACAATAAGCCCCGCCGACGTCTACGAACCTTATCAGAAGCCCTCACGTAGTTAGGATCCCTTTCCTCGCCGCTCTCTGCCTCCTCGGATTCCTCTCCTTCTTCGTCCTCTTCCTCTTCGGAGTCCGAGGCGGTTGGTTTCGCGTATTTATCCTCCGGAGGAGGCGTGAAACGTTTCAACGGCTTTGGACCGTTTGGAACTTCCTTCTTGCACGCGTTCTCCTCCATCTGCCGGAAAATCGATAACATTTTCCTGGCAGTGTCTGTGTGCACCACTTCGTTCACCCTATCGTCTGCTCTGACCACGTCTGGATCACGGTATATCTCGCGTTCGGGGGAATCCATCTGTAAAATAACGTCAAATTTCCCGATCAGCATATCCTCCTAACAACAGACGTGTTAAAAGAGTCGAACGAGTTAACGCTCCAATATAATTCAACAACGGAACATCCACCTGAAGCGTGAAAACCTGAGACCAGGCAGGAAATCGAAGGGAATGAAAGGTACTGTGTACGCCTTTCCACGAATCTCCGCACACCTCTGAGTCAGCACGAATAACTTTTATGCGTGTGCAGCGTCTCCGTTGAATTTCTACCTGAACAGCAGGTAGAGACGCCAAGACGCGATGACAATGCAGAATCGTCCCTACAACCACGGACCCCAGAGACTCGTCCTTACCTGTTCACGATTCGCGGAGGAGACACACGTTAGGGACGTACACGCGCATACACGTACACGACTAGCTGGCTCGACGTGAAAATTCCCAACGAACACTGAATATAACGTCGGATGGAAGAAAATATTGTCGAAACACCCACGTCGTATACAGACGTCGAGCCTACTACCCACGGATCAAAAATGAACGGTAGTGGGTTTCACTCCGTTACGATCGGAGATTTATAGGTTCTAGCTGGGGAGAAAGCTAATTAGTTCGAGTTGCCCCGCTAGAATCTTTATTAACGACGTCTCGCCACGTTTTTATTTAAACAGAGACCGAGCAGCTGATTTATTCCGCCTTTCTGTTCCGTTCATTTATTACACGCACGCGAGATAACGTGTACAATGGCGACAATTAAGGTGTTGTTTTTATTATTTTATCTCGGAGATACGGAGAAGATTAAACAACACGGCGACGATATAAACTGAAACGACACACGAAGGATAATTTGTAAGGTTTACTTTTTCCCGTCGTTCGATCATTCGATTTGAATAACTGCGAGGAAGGGAGGAAAAATGGAAAGAAAGTTTTTCTCCATCTCGGACGATCGATAACATCGGTTGAAAGGAAAGCGTTATGCATATGCATTCGTACGTCAAGTATATCGACAATGTTGTGCGTATATACCGTTATTCTGAAACGGTTTCGAGAAAGCGGGCAATTTTCTACGCCGATTATATACATTTTTTCGATATTTCACGGTGGCGGTCAACCGAACACCGGCAATTTGACCAGCGAGCCTTGTGCAGCCGGCACTGGACACCATGTTCGTTGCAGTTCAACGCACGGAAACTCGTGGAAAATTCGCGAAAAAAAGAAGGAAAATATCACCGTCTCACAATTTCCATCGATCACTGTACACTTTCATAAATCACAATTAACCACCGACGAGACAGAAGCTCGATTCGTCCAAGGAAATAATAATCTATCCTTCGTTCTCGACGTTCTCGGATCTCTCAAGACGCTCCTTAAAATCGAACCACGGTAGAGAAGTAACGAACGCCTAGCCAAGCCTCGAATTTTCATCGAGAAGTGTCTTCTCATAGTCGACGCGAGAAAAACCGTATATTTCTGCATCCTCTACTACCCACCATCGGCGAGACACGCAAGATTCTATATTCTACTCACTTTATTATCTCCTCGGGCGTTCTCGCTGATGAACGGTGTGTGCACCGACGAATATCCAGCGTGCAGCCCAGCCAGCCAGCGAGCGAAACCGCACTGTACTGATATCTCACAGAGCGAAAAAGAAAAGGAGGAAAAAATTTCGAGGGAAATGGACGGGAAGAGACGCGAAGAGAGGAGAAAAAGGAGAGACGGCCGTCACGAGGGAGCCTTTTGTTTCGTTGGCCCCGGCAAACTCCGAACTGGCAGCAGCGTGTCGGCTGGTTGCTATGCCGTTCACACGATGAGGAGGACGAGACGCACAGCCACACACCGCTCTTACTGTGTTCCCCCTTCGTGAGTTACTGGGAGAGGGCCAGCCACACGGTGGTGTGTCCTCCTCTCTCGCCTCTCTCTTCTCTCTCTCTCTCTCTCTCTCTCTCTCCTCGCGAATGGAAGGATGTAGGAATACTAACGGTAAAAGTATGGCTGCTGACCACTCGACGGGGGTTCAAGGACAGCCCGTGGAAACCTGTGCGCGCGCGCACAACGCCAGACGAGCTTTCACGAGCTTCTTTCTCTGTTCCACGGGGTGGGTGAGGTGCTTTAACCTGTTAACTCCGGGAAGACGAGTTAACTCGTCGTTCGATCGATCAGCGTTTAAAACAAGGCGTTTCGTCTGGTTTTGTTCGCCGATGCCTTGAGCTTTTTAATTGCGTCGTTAATTGGGTTTATCTGTTGTACCGGGAAATGTAATTTGTCTACTTTTGTGGGGGAAAATTGAGGAAAAATGGAAGGCAGTTAGCTACTTTGTTTCGCTTGTTGGCACAGTTGGGAGGTAGATTGATTTACTAGGTTTTTCGATGTTCTGCACATGCCGGGGCTTAATTTTTCGGAAATGTAAGGAATTTTAGTTTTGGGTGACGTTTAGTTTATAGTAAATTTAATGGATTTTAACGGAGGTAGGTAATTTGGCTTCTGCGTGTCTCTAATGTGAATATGTAATATTTTATTTTTTAGTATAGGCGTATTATTTATTCTTGATAAATAAACTATTTTTTTGTAAATATTTGTGAACCAGTAAATAGTTAACTCGTCTTCTCCAGTTAACAGGTCAATTAATCTTTAATTCAATATACAAGACTTGCATCTGCATGGAGGAAAGCAAATTTACTGGGTGAGGCTTTTTCTGTGTTTTAACACAATTAAGAAGCAAAATTTCTCGGTGACGTTCCATTTTACCAAATGTTTTCAGTTTCTTTCTTTTTTCGTAGAATGTGAAATAATGTCCGATGGGGTGGGTCACTGGATGACCCACGGTGGGTCACGTCGGTGAATAAGAGCACCACTCGATGACCCATCGGTGAGTCACACTCTCCTAAAAAGATTCAATTTCTCCCTAAAGGACGAACCCAGCTAACAGGTTAATTCGTCTCACACAGGTTGATTTACTATAAAAAATTTAGCGAAGACTATGGGGTATAATGTTTTTCTTCGTGAAAATTTGAAGATTCCTCGCTACGACTGGAGTTTCGAGATTTTCGCGTTTGATTGTTTCAATTGTTTATCGAGGCTGCCAGCTTCGATAACGATCGACGTGTTTTCGGAATCCTGATCGAGCTAACTGCAATACTGGTGAAACATCGGATATCAGAAATTATTGGGCGCGGCTCAGGCCTGGAAGCTTCGTTCGATAAAATCGTCGACGATGGTAAATGTATAAATTACAGTTGAATTGTGACAGTTTCTAACAGGACGAGTTCGATAGGCGATATCGAATTTTCAAGAAACTTTCGTTAGCAAATGTTTTTTTCGTAAGATGTTGGACTATCTTACGTCGATAAATAGTTGACTTGGAATTACCGCGTTATCTTTTGGGAAAGTGTTTCGAAATTGCCCGAACGGAATGCAATGTTTATGATAATTCTTATCGCTGGATTTCGATAACCGCGACATGGGAAGAAATGACTCACGCTCGAAAATGATTCAGGTGATTCAGGAGAGGAAATTGGTGTTGTTAAAAGATATACCGACAAGTGGATGATCCATGCAGTAAGAATTCAAAATCAACCACGAGGTAAATCATGCGATAAATAAACGTCAAATATGTACAAAAAAAAAAATTGCACACCAAAGTTACGTTATTGAAAGTCAAATTAAATTGTAAATTCGTTCAATTCAATGGTTACAACGGGAATTAGTTTGACGAGAATTAAACTGGCACACGCATGAAAATTTCTATTATTAATTGATTTCGTGGTCGTTACGATACTAAATTGCATTCGTCAATTAAGTAACACACACTCTGCACTCGAGAAAAACCTCGAACCTTTAGTTGACCATCGCGAGGAGGAGTGATTCGAAATTGCTTCCGCTGTTTCTCCGGCTCCTTGTACGACTCGAAAAATTTGAATTTATTCGAAATGTCCGAGGTCTCGACTTGGACCTCCTCGGTGGTGTCCGAGCTGCGCACCACGTCGTCGGACACTTGCCGCCCCATGAATGCCTTCGTTTGCACAGGTTACACAGTTTTTTTTCAGTCAAATGGCGTATAAATTTCTGCACTTTGCAGTGGTTCGGTAAAAAAATAAACAATTTCGCTTTCTAACAAGATACAGTGTCAAAAATTGGATCTCACTCCTTTCATCTATTTCTTTAAAATATGAAAGTTGAACCCCGTCTCTAAGCCCACGATGAGCTCAGTTCTTGTGCAATTTAAAAAAAATTAAAGGCAGTGATTCGCTAAAAAATGAACAATACTTCTTTCTAACAAAATTTGGACTTTTATTCCTTTCAACTATTTCTCCTAAAACGTGAAAAATCGAACCCAATCTCTAATCCCATAAAAAGCTAAAAAATTGTGGAAGTTTCTTTAAAAATTAAATACAGTGATTCGCTAAAAAGTGAACAATACTTCTTTATATCAAAATTTCAACTCTTATTCCTTTGAACTATTTCTCCTAAAACATGAAAATTCGATGAGCTCAAAAATCGTGTAAATTAAAAAAAAATCAAATACTGTGATCCACTAAAAAATGGACAATACTTCTCTCTATAAAAATACAATATTAAAATACTCTTATTCCTTTGAATTATATCTCCCAAAATATGAAAAATTGAACCCAATCTCTAACCCCGCAATAATCTCAAAAATCAAATACAGTGATTCCCTAGAAAATGAACAAAACTTCTTTCTATCAAACCATAGTATCAAAAATTGTACACTTTGGTACAATAAGTATCACAACTAACACACCTCTCCGATATTTCTCCGAAAACGTAAAAAAATCGATTCCCTATTCCACGACAATCTGAAAAAATCGCATGAAAATGATCGGAACTTA